CCAGCCAACCGGGGGGGGAACCGGCCCGGTCGACCGGCCGGTAGGACCGGTCCGGTTCCAGTTGGGGGAGGACCCCCCGGTCCTACCAGGTTTTCAGCACTGTTTTTGTATCCTTTCTTCCTATTTTTCTGTATTTTCTCTACGCACAGCTGCGCACCTCTACGTAGTGCCAAATAATCGGTCATTTCTCGTTTGGAGTGAGTGCAGCACTCTTAGGGGCCGGGGTGCTCAGTTCTGGATGTCTGTCTGCCCTATGGGTGATGATGGATGTTCATCAGATCGACTCCCTGGCTCAGTGGGCAGTGGGAACCAACAGTCTGTCCGGTTCACTTGTGATGTGCGTAGGTGATGTGCCACTGTTCTCCATGTTGGATGTGTAGACTGCCTTGTCTGCGCTCCAACTCTGCCTTGCTGCCTGGCCCGCTTGCCTCGCATGACGTTCTTTGCAAGCTGTTGTGTTCACTGTGTGGTGTGGCTGCGGTGTTGGTGTTGCCTTGTGCTTCGCTGCTGCCTTGCCGCCCATCCGCATGCCCTGCCTTCCACATCCTTTGCTTGCGTGCCATGTAGTTTGGCTGCTCGTCCGCTTGCCCTGGTGCTTGGCTGAGTTGCTGCTCGTCCGCCATTGTGAAGTTGGGTTGCTCCGGCAGTGTTGCCCGGTGCTTGGCTGAGTTGCTGCTCGCTGCTGTGTTCCGCTTGCCCTGCCGTTCCTTGCAGTCACTTTTGGCGTTGTGCAGTTCGGCTGCTTCGGTAGCATTGCCTGGTGCTTCGCTGGGTTATTGTCTGCTGCTGTGTTCTGCTGGTGGACAGTCTGCCTTCACCAAGGGTCAAATGGTGCATGACCCAAACCATCAATACGGGACCCCACAGATTGTCAAGGGTTCAGCCTCCTGAGGAGTAGGTGCAACTCTGACGAAACAATATATCATCAGTTCTATTTCTTTTGCTTTGTTTTTTTTGGTTTTTGCTCTCATTTTTTTTGTTCGCCTTGTAGTTTCTTTGCCTTGCTGTTTCTTGGCTTTGTTGCCTTTCAGTGATGTTTGTCTGCCCCCACCAGCCGCCCACGCGCCCTCCCGCCTACGCTCGTTGCTGTTGCTTGACCGCCCAATGCTGCTCCTTGGCTTTCTGCCTTTTCCTTTCGCTGTGGGGTGCTGTTTGTCTGCCCAACAGCCTCCCACGTCCCCTCCCCAGCCTATGCCCCTTGCTGTCGATTGTTGTCAGTGTCTTGCTTCCTCTTGTTCCTTGCCTCGTTGTCATTTGTATGCCTGTTCTCTCGAATCACCTTTCTCTCTCAACCGTCAATCTGAGCGTCTGCCACGATGTGTCAATGACGTCTAAAGTCCGTCCGTACGTTGGCATGCCAGTCTGAGTCTTGGACTAATGTTTGGTTGCATGTAGCCTTGCCATCAGCTGTTTTGAAGAAGGTCGTCTGGTGTGAAGCACTCATGCGAGGGTCTTATTATCTTCTCTCTCTCTCTCTCTCTCTCTCTCTCTCTCTCACACACACACACACACACACACACACACACACACACACACAGTCACACACCGAGAATGATACCACACAGTTCAAGTGAGAGATCAATCGCAAAACAGCTTTTCATGCGATTAGGGAACTAGCGTCCATATCAACATTAGATTTTTGTCACGAGTGTTCCTTGCCGAAGATGTGTCCTCATGTGAGAGTTGTAGCATCCGTCGATCGTATGATCACAGCTCCGAGTAAGGGTGTGTTTATGTGGAGTGTAATGCAATTGCGAGGCTTATGCCCCTATGAGCCCCTTTCAGGCCCTGCCAAGTATCAGGTCGGACGCCCTAAGTGAAGGCAGGCACGACGAGGGCCTGAGGGCCCCTATTTTGGTCACCACGCAACTCAAGGAAATTCAGGCAGTTGCGCAGCGCCAGTTGGTTGGAAGAACCCACGCCCTGGGCAGCCTGTTTGAATGTATCGAAGGCAGGCCCTGGACTGGATACGGGATGTGGGCCTAACACATGCCGTTGACAGTTGGGCGCAAGCAACCACTACAGGCCCAGGGCCTGA